GGATAGTCACTAGTGAAGATTTTGATACTTTGCACATTCTTGTTGTGCCATAAGCCAATTAACATTTTCAGGACATAATTTTCCTGTGTTTTCATAATGATTAGTCACATGGTATTTTATAGCTCAGGTGATTGGCTCAAAAACAATTGTGTACATAACTTGACGCAAACAAGGAGTTGTGCCAAGTCAGCATATTGTTCTTTATTATGCTAATTTGTGGGTATTCTATCACATAATTGTACAATTGTCCTTGATATTATTATTATTATTATTATTATATTTTAAAAAATAAAACAGCAAAATTAAATTAGGCTAAAAGCAAATTCTGTACCACCAAATGCTAGTGAACACAGACTTTCCAAACTGAAAACACACACACACACACACACACACATCCCATAGGCGTAATGGTTTTTCTACTGTACAGACCGTATATTCTATTGCCCTACACCAACCCTACCCCTAAACCTACCCCTCACAGGAAACTTTGTGCTATTTCAGATTTTCAATACACTCCATTCTGTGTGATTTATATGCGTTTTGAAAAGTGAGGTCACCTTCTCCTTGTAATACCTGTCATACCCTTGTCATTATACAAATTTATGTCCTCATTTGTCACAAAAACGCGCACACAGAGACACACACGCACACAGAGACACACACACACACACAAGAAAACTATTTTAAACAATTTCACCTAGAAATTGCTAGTAAATTTCACAAATAATTACGGAGAAACAGCAAGTAACATGAAATTTTGAAGTAGAAAGACTGAAATAGTATTTTCTATGTTTTATTTACAACTTAGAAAATTCATTTTTAACAGTACATAAAAGGCCTTCTGGTGAATAAAAGTGATTTTGATTAAATCCTTATAAATACTGCTGAATAATGTCCAGTCAAAAACTGAAATAGGTCACTGGCCTTTTTTCTTGTGCTTACAGAACTGCGTCATCGAGGACTGTCTGTACAAAATGACAGTTGTGAAGTGGGCCCCTTGAGGACATTGTGTGAATCATGTCACCTCAGATTCTTTATTGTGCAAAACAATATAAAGGTCAACTATATAAAAGCACAAGCAAATGAACATTTCAGCAATCAACACTTTAGATTGCTTACGTTGCCATAAACCAGATAACACCTAACACCGAGCTGGAAATACTCAGGTGAAAGCCTTTTTCTGCAGGTTTCTCTTTTACTCTATTCCGTACAGTAAGTTTGAGCTCTGCTGAGGTGCCTATCTTTGTGTACACCCTGGAGCTGAGGCGCTTGACAGTTCATTAAAGAATCCTGAGATCGTCTGTCCTTATTTTTGGAAGGCATGTTGGAGGAGAGGGATTGTGTGAGCTGCCAGAAAAGCGACGAGGGGCGGACACAGGGAGCTAAAGTGGAGCTTTTCTCAGTGCTGGCATTGTATTTCCAGGGGCTTCAAAGCTGTCTGCCCCAAAGCTGCTGGCTCCTGAAACACTTTGGAGAACAGATACCTTGATCAAGCGATTAAGAAGACAGATTTGCGTGGAACGGAAGCTGTTTACAGCTGAGGGCGCTGCTTTTGTCTTTTTGCAGGAAAAAAATGCAGTTAATATGGAATTAATTTAAGCATTGTGCAATCACTGGTCAGATTCGCAAGCTGATTCTGCGGCATCAGCTTGGTTAATTGGAAAGCCAGTCACACGAGTTTGGATTTAAAAACCAGAAAATATCTTTCAGGTTGTAGGGTGTTGTTAAAAATGGAGGATGTGTGGGACGCTTAACAAGAGAAGTTTTATTCTTCTTGAGCACTGGAAGAGAAAGAACTGGAGTACAGTAGTGTTGTCACGGTACCAAAATTTCAGTATTCGGTACCAATACCAGTGAAAATCCACGGTTCTCGGTACCAATTTCGGTACCAAAGCAAAACACAAAAACATGCTAATTGAACAACATTTTTATTAATAACGTTAAACAAAAATTAAATGTACAAAACCAATGCCATTCTTTATACTTATTTAAAATTGTTTCAAGTTTTTTCACAAGTAATAAAAGTATGAAAAAAGTAAACTAGTTTCACCCAAAAGTTTAGTCATAGTTCTGCTGCCACTGAAAAACATCTGTAAACTGTTGTCTGTTTTAGGGTTTGCTGGTGTGTTTCAGGATCTTCCTCAGTCTGCAGCTGTAAAAGGAAAATATAATATACTTAAGTAAAGCAATGGGCTGAGTCTGACCAAATGCAACATTAGATCATTGACACCAGCTAAAATATAACTTTTCAGTAAATAACAAACCTCAGCTTTTATAATAAATTTAGATAAGATTACATATATTAAGTGTATATCAAATAGATGAAACTGTAGTATTAAAAACACTTTACAATAAGATTTTATTTGTTAGATAACATGACCTAACAATAAACAATAGTTATATGGCAATTATTCTTCTTAGGGTTAATTTCAAAGTTCAATCTGTTAAAATTATTTAATGCACAATGAACAAACATGAATGATCAAGTGTTTGTATTAAATAACATTCACAAACATTAATGAATGTTTTAAAAATATATTGTTCACTCACTGTAAGATGTTACTAGATCTAACATTGTACAGTAAAGTCTATACTGGAGATACAATTTGACTGTACTTTTATTTAATCCAAACTGTGTTCATATTTACATCCTGCTAGAGATATTCAGCCAAGAATTACAACTAACTAACTAAAAAAAAACTTTTTCTGACGGACTGGTATGACATAAACACTGTTAACCATACATTTGTACATTCTCTAACACGCATATTTTGGTTACACAGTTCATTTAAAAGCCTCTGGTGTGTAAAAATAGTAAATGCCATTATGTCCTCCTGTTTTTTACAGTAATAAAAGTTATAAGAGCATTAAATGTTAACAAAGAAATCAAAGAAATCATTTTGAACAAAATTCATTCTAATGCTCATTATATTAGCGTTAGCCGCGCTTATGCTAACTATTAACTACGTATACGCTAACGGCGATGTTTATTTCAATCCGAAATTCTAATTAAAATATGGAATAATATTCATAACAGAAGCTCTAAATATTAAAAATGTAATTGAAACTTACCTGCTTGAACTTGATCGGGGTGTTTTGTTAGTTTGATGCGTTTCCTCCTCTTGAGGTCGCCACTGCTTTTATGAAGAGGTTGCCAGGTTTTCACAACAAAACCCGCCCAATCGCGTTTCAAGGGGGTCCCCTTGTGCGTTCCGAGGATAAAATACGCATGTTTTGGCGGGGTTGCCCTTGTAAATTTCGCATTCCAGGGGCTAAATATCACGTTAATGGGGTCGTTTTTCAACCCGCGGACATGAAAAACAACCCGTGGAGCGGCAACAGTGTTAAAGCAGCCCAATTCCGCGGGAAAACCGCGGACTTGGCAACAGTGGAAGAGGATAGCTTGCGGATAGCGCATCAAGAACCGGGTTGACCGGGTGATCGGTACCACCGGTACTTAAAAAAAACTGGTACCGTAACGTTTTCATTTTTTTAGTACTGACTTGGTACCGAAATACCGGGTCTTTTGACAACACTAGAGTACAGACTGTACAACTGTAGCAATAACCGTCCCAGGAGAGTGACTGTTAAAGATGTGTTAAGGTGAGAGAGAACAGTCTCGGTTAGATGCAGTTCAAATGCAACGCAGACCTGGGGTACAAAGAAAGGTGAGAGACTCCGAAAAAGACACAGAACAAATGTTCAGTGCTGAATTTATGCTGGTACAAGGGCAATGAAATGAATAGTTCTGTTTGGGCAAGGTAGAGGGCTGACCCGAGCCTGCCTGCTGCCTCAGGCCGCCATACTGTTTGAAAACCCTCATATTTTTCTCCGTCAGCATCATCGATGACCTCCAGCATGGTGTCCATCCAGGAGTGCTCTCTCTCTCTCTCTCTCTTCGCCGCGCAAAGAGAGAGAGAGGGTGGACTGTGTTTGGTGCAGTGACATGCAGACATGTGCAAGTCTCTGAAGCAGGGTCCAAGGCAATTCTCAAATACTTTTTGGTTTCCAAATACGTTTTATATATACATTTAAATATGCTGTGGGTTAGGTTTATACACCAGTTTGTTCAATATATTTTCAAAAATGTGTATCTAAGGACTATCTTTATTGATTTATTAAATAAAATATTAAGTTAAAAAAAAATTGAGATTAACTTTGATAATTGCCATTTGTTTCCCTGCACACTAAGCCACACCCCCAAATATCATGTGTTGATGATATATATGTCTTACATTAATATTAATCATTAAATTAATATACACCTTCATTCAAAGGTTTCGGGTCAATATTTTTTTCTTTTTTGTGTTTTTGTAATTCATAATAGCCTTTTTTAAGCAAGGACACATTAAATTGATCAAAAGTGGCAGTAAGGGATTCATAATGTTGCAAAAGTTTTCTGTTTCAAATAAATGCTGTTTATTTTAAACTTTCTATTCATCAGAGAATCCTGAAAAAAGCATTATAGTTTCCACAGAAATATGAAGCAGAACAACTGTTTTCAACATTGATAATAATATGAAATGTTTCCTGAATGATTTCTGAAAGAACTTGTGATACTGAAAATGATATTTTTGTCTGAGTATCATAGTTCTGGCATCACAGGAATAAATTACATTTTGAAATATATTACAATAGAAAGTTATTTTAAATTCTAAAAATATTTCTTCTTGTGTACGATTATCAGTAAGTGCAGTTACAAAGCAATAATTGGTCTTTAGTCCAGTTTCTTTTCTGTGATTTAACCAATGGCTGGATCTTGTGTTGAATCTTGGGTTGTTCATTGGTAGGTTCTAAAGCTCTGTCACCACTCTGACTGCAGTTACAGGAAGAGAAAGCATCACAAAATGCCTCCTGTTTAACATGAGTTCATGTTTTGATTATGGCTTTAACACAACATCAGTATTTGGCATGCGTCATGGTGCTTTTTGATAGCGGTGCATATCTAGTAATTCTCTGCATCTCACATTTCTTTTTCATCTCTGCATTATTTTCCTCAGAATCCTGTTCAGACAAAAATAAATGCTGCCAGTTGAAGCCTAGTCTCTGATAGCAGTGGAGAACAACCAGTCTACTTCCCGGAAGAATACAAGACTTCTCTGATCTGGTAAGCACAAGCAAGAAAACTCAAGTTCATTTCCATAGTATAGTCTTGAACAGAACTGTTGAGGGAGTGTTGCATAGTATTTTTTTAATGTTATTTATATAATTAATTCTATCTGAGTGTTGTACTTGCCTTTTTCCAGAGGTATTTTCCATGTTTATATACCATGCTTCCTCTTTTTTCCCCACTTTTTACACCTTGTAAAAAAACAGTTGCAGCTGAATAGCACACTAAACATCCTTGCAAATAAATAACTTAACTGAAAATTCGTAGTTTAGAATTTTTCTGATTTTCAGATGCTATAAACATGCCTTTATAGTATAATTTAATTCAAACACACATAAGAAGAGTGTATTTCACAGTTGCATTGGTTGTTTCTCTATAAGCTTTAGGAAACTCTTGGATAGGGACTAACGTTTTGTTATGGGATCTTGCTATCAGGTCTCCAGTGGACAACACTGGGTTTGATGACTGCTTTCATCACATAGCAGAAACACCTTCAGTGTTTAAGAACCTCTTTGAATAATATCAAGAGCCACTTGAATTAGTATAGAGTATGTTAGAAACTGGCTGCAATTCCTGTTTTCCTCCCCTACATTTCTAAATCTGTTCTTATTTTAAGTAAATACGGACTCCAATCTCCACTTGCTCCAGTCACCCTAGGAATGAATGTGCCCAAGGGGACGCTAGTTTCTCATTCAGCCCGAGTATGCGGGGTGGGGGGTGTGGAGAGAAGTGTCTGTAAGTGCACTTGAGCTACTGAACTCACGCAGTGAGACAGTCAAGTGCACGACCAGCTAAAAGCCGCTCGCAGTGAAAAGACCCTCTCAAAATGTTTGTCTGAATCTCATAATTTCCCTGAATACGTGTATTGTAGACTCATTCAAGTAATACAAACCTTTTATTATAAACTGTCATCCTTTGCATGCGTGCTTGACGGAAACAACAGATTGTGGGGGAAGGGTTGGCTACGTGTCTGGAGTAGAACAGAAGATGGGAATGGAGGAGGTCATTAGCATTCCAAGAGAGTGTTGGCGTCTGGTGGAGCAAAGCCATGCTTCGCTGCCTGGCACGATAGGGCAACGCGGTGGCCATTAAGGCAGAGGGGTTTGGGGGTTAGGGCCCATGGAGGTCACTGCCACCCCCCGCATGGGTGCAATGAGAGGCCCAGGGCAGGTGGTCTATCAGGGACAGTGGGCTGGAAGGCCAGGACAAATTGGTATAGGGAGGCTCATTTCCCAAGCTCAGCATGAGGGACGGCACAGCAACTCCATGAGAGTGAAAAGGGGGAAAAAATGAAAGACTCCCAAAGGCACTGGCATATGAGTGATGGACTTGCCCAGAGGTCGGTCAGTTGTAGGGGAGTGTGGGGTAAGATGTGTCAGTGGGTAAAAGTTGTGTTGACCCTTAATTTTGTGCCACATTACTATATATTGGTTTTGGATCATTATTTGAAAAGTGTGGAAAACCCTTAACAAAAATGAATTTTCTTTATATAGTATACCCTTTCTTATGTAACAAAGCAGCAATATTGTGAAACATTTTTACAATTTAAAATAGCTGTTTTCTATTTAAATATATTTTAAAATGTAATTTGTAATGAATTTTGAGCAGCCATTACTTAAGTCTGCAGTGTCACATGATCTTTTAGAAATCATTCCAATATGCTGATTTGGTGCTCAAGAAGCATTTCTTATTATTATCAATGTTGAAAATGGTTGTGCTGCTTAATAAAACATAATACATTACACAAGGGAGTATTTATTTGTCTACAAATCTTTTGTACTTAGAAATGTCTTTGTAAAATTTGATAAATTTAGGCCCAGATTTACTAACAGCTTGTGCCAGCGCAAACCGTCTTTTGGTGTTAAAATAGTACTGTCAGGATTTACTAAAGACGCACAGTGAAGAATTAGCGCTGAAAAGGCATGGACACAATTATTTTTGCGCCTGACCTTATTGAATATGCATTTGTAGGAGTTTCCCTTTCAGATGGAAAATTTCTTAGAGGAGAGTATTACAATGAATCATGTAACGCGATGTGCTAACGTTTGCGCTCGTGAAATTACTGGTATTTGTGCCATTATTTACACCCAAAAACTTTAAGCTCTGCTTATTTGCGACTATGCTAATTTGCGCTGCGCTTGGTATATTGCATTGGTCAAAATGTAAATGAGATGTTGGGTCTGTGTTTTTTAATCTGCGCATTGTCAGTAAATCACCCGCAGAAATTTCCACGCCCATCTGCGCTGTTTTGGAATTGCACTCTCGTGCTAATTTGCCCTGTTTAGTAAATCTGCCCCTTAATGTATCCTTATAAATAAAAGTATATATATATATTTTTAAAAATCTTACTATCAGTTCTTTATAATTAATAATTTTTAATGGAATGGTACATTAATTATTTTTTACTCATTTTTTAATTTTTCATCAACGATCTGACTGTGTCATAACAGCTTAGTCCATATCTGAGACAAGTTTTTTTTTTTTTTAAATAGTCATTATTCAGTGGCTCTGTTATATACACTTTTTTTTCCTCATATCTTTCGATAGCAGATATCTTGAAATATAATTAGAACGTTTTTACTTACATCTAATTTCTCCTTGCCTAGAGACCAAACAGGTGGCACATCACATAAATATTGCACTGTCCCCTAACCACACGATAACACTGAAAGCAAAAAAATTATAGCAAAAAAAATAAAATAAAAAATGCACACTAACAGCCAATCAGAAAACATTTGATGTCTAATATACAGTTATATGGAACAAAATATAGAACCAAGGAAATTCCACTATGCGCAGCAACCGTCAAAATATCCTTTAACTTGTCGCTTGTCGTATATGACTCATATTTTATCCTAGCCATGTCTCATTCACAGCTGGTTGGGACAAAACTGAGATTAACATGAAAGAGAGCTTTTGTGGCGTTGTGTGTGGTTAGGGCAAGCTGTTAGTCATTGATTCTATTAGTAGGCCGAATTGCAGCTCGGTTTTTCTCTCTCAGTCCATACATGTATCACATGAGTCATATGCCAGCTTACAAATGATTTAGGGAAAGAGTTTTAGTTAAGTGTGTATTTCTCATACATCCTCGCCAAGCGACGACACATGCCCCCCATGCATCAACGCAAGAGTTTCAGTGAATGACATTTATTCATCTTTCTCAGACCTGTCAGCCTGTTTCTAAAGGCTGTTAAAGTGAAATCCATCAGAACCGCTGCAGTTCAGCGAGCTCAAAGCCATTCTGGACGAGGTAGCCATGAGAATGTGGCATTTAAGGGGATAGTTTGGTCTCAAAACAGCATCGACCAATCAGACAAGAGGCTTGATTGCTACATATTGTCTCCCTGTTTGTTGAAAAGGGTAATAAAATAAACATATTGGGTGAAATGCCCATGAGTGATGTTTTATATATTTATTTATTTATTGGCATTGAGTTCATAAAATCCAGCGTGTGACAACTTTATTAACCTAGCGGAGATTTATTTTGAAAACTGTACTTTTTTTTTTACTTAAATACTTTATATTTTTTTCATTTTTGTTGGCGAAGGACAAGTGTGCTATCACTCTTTTGTCAGAGGATTATTTTTCCGCATGACACTTTTGATAAGTGGATGGATGGGTGTAAATCTCAGCTCTGTTGTTGGGGGGAGTATGACCTGTCATTCACTACATAGATTACATACCTGTGCCGGCGGAGATTGAACTCAACTTGTTCTTGAGAATTTTTTATCCTTCCTGCCTCAGCCGATCGTCTCTTTGTAAATTGCCTCTCTTTGATTGCTAGCCCACAAAGTGAGTTTACTGTGTTTTGCCTGTTATCATTTGTTTGCTGAATATGCCATCTAGTGCATGAAAACACTGACACAACTCATGAAAAGATATGTTTGTTCACTCACTAGATCTTTCGGTATTTTCTCTGTCGCTCCTTGAGGGTCCTTCAGGGCATGCTGCTCCAGAAATGTGCGTCTCTTCAAAACGCTTTGCTACAAAGTCATCAAGTCTGTCATCAAGCTTGTGTTTGCTACCTGTGGAAAGTTGATGTAGTGTTTGTTTGCTTACATTCTTGTTCTCTTACACCGATTACAAATACACAGGTTTAGTTTTATTTAATAGTTCATATTTTAAGGCATTTATAAGCATCCCGCACACCTTTGTTTGAAATACTTCCCTTTTTTCACGTCTGTCCCTCTGTATAACCCCAGGTCAGCGGTCTTGTCTTTGGTTAATTCCTTCTTGTCGCATGTCGTGTTCAGACATTAGTGGCAATTAAAGGTGAAGGCTGTCCAGATGTGTGGCTAAGAGTAGGGGTAGAGCTAAAGTGGACACACTTGTGGCCATATGGTGGAGTTTCCCTCAGTCTTGCACTCGTAATTTGCTATGCTCAGACTTTAAAGCCAATGTGAATTGCTCTTTAAAACTCATTTTGTTTTGTAATGTGACATATTTAGAGTCAAACAAGGTATTCAAGGAGGACAACTAATGCATACGGCCTTTCAGTATGATTAAAAATTCATAAATATGCTCATATGCTTCTTAACTGTGGAAAATGTGCACACGTTTCCACACACTCAGACATACATTCCTACATATAGCTCTGGACTCATTGGCACAGCGTGGCTTGCAGACACAGCCTGTTCCACTGGCAGCCCAACTGCTGACGCTGTCACCTGTCTATGTGGATAAAGGTGATTTTGTTAGCACAGCCGTGCTGAGGCACTGGCATACCTCGCCCACATTCGTCCTCTGATAGGGACTGGGGTTCGGAAAAGATGAGCCAATAGCTCTATATAATGTTTTTAAGCTAGGTCTGTGCCTTTACCACAATGTGTGGTCATGTTATTAGGTTAAATATCACAGGATATTTTCTTTTTAAATAATACCATATGTAGTGTACACACATATTTTATATTGTATCTTCTGAAATTATTGCAAATATCTAAATTTGTCAGCCTTCCAGATGTAATGGAATAGGGATGTATGAACACTCACCCCCATCCCTAAAAATAATTATAAAAAAATTAAAGCTGCAACATTTGGCGCTGTTGCAGTAGGCTGTAAACATATTAAAAATTAAATTGCACCTACAGGCTTTGAAGTTGCATTTTTAATCTGCAATCTCACAACTTTATTCATGTTCACTCCCTCACATTTCTAAGGTGCTACTATCAGAAATTAGGTCAGTGGTTTAACTGGCAAAGTATGCATGTTGTGTAGCAGAAAATACATCAAAGCATATCATAACAATCAATCAATAAATCTGATGTTTTTTTTTTGTGTCATATTCCATCACAGATGTACTGTAAAAGAGAATATGTGGTAATATGTTTTTGCAGTATTCCTAAAGATAGCATAGGCAGTGTGGTTCTAAACTGGTGCGTTGTGTGACCCATAAAGGGATCACCGGTCTGTTCAGAAAGGGCAATGGCTGTATGGAATACTTTACAATGAGGTTCAGTTTGTTATTTTATAATAGTTAACATCTACTTTTGATTGATGTAAACTTCCAGATTTTTTTTTTGTTGCTTTTTTATGTTATGTTAATTTGTATGTTAGTTTTATTTTATTTTTTGTTTGGAAAGTCATGAAAGTATTTCACTGCATGTTGTACTGTGTGTGGTTATGTGTCTGACCAGTAAAAATTACATTTGATTTTGGTTAATGCATTAAGTATCATTATTAATCGAGGTTAATGTTAATTTATAAATATGTTATTGTTCATGTTTATTCATAATACTTAATTTTATTTACAATTAATTATTGTAATTATTTGTTTTATTTACAACTTTAAAATTTTTTAAAAATCTGAAAAAAAAAATTTAATGTAAAAATTTTAATTAAATACATACTGAAAAACGAATCTTATTTTAAAGTGTCATCCTAATAATTTATCTTTTTTGTTAAGACTCTGTAAATTGTGATAATACATTTTAAGGACTTTTTTGGTACTGTGTTTGGTCACGTCTTGAAGTCCAATGTAAAATAATGTAAAATAATAATAAAAAAGCACTACTATAGAGTGTCGTTGGTTTTCACTAATTGATACTTTTGGTGAACTTGGCTCCAAGCTGGTTTCCTAATGCTGCTGTGCAATGGAGTGAGGTTGTTTAATTTTCTGTGGGAGAATCTAATTGAGAGAAATTACGCCATTGTAAGTTTATGCAGTCCCTGCTGTGTTTTTCAGGATCAGGTTGTTTCATGTCACTTAACAGATGTTCAGTCAAGAGTGCCGTTTGCAGCCTTTAATGTGGCTTTTTACAGCCATCGAGCCCGTGTTTATTGGCTTACATGTTTATGGCGATGGTCGTCGCATTAATTTCTCAGCAAAATGGGCATTGTGTG